AAGCTAAACCAACTGAAATTGAAGACATGAATGAAATTGCTTACAGTTATATAATTTTGCATCTATCTGACAGCATTGTGAGACAAGTTGATAGTGCTAAAACTACTAGAGCCTTGTGGATTGCTTTAGATGCTCTATTCTTAACTAAAACTTTACCTAACAAAATATACCTGTTGGAGGGGAATTTGAGTGACTTTAGCATAATTGTTAAGAGTCTAGCTCATAATGATAAAACATTTGATGATGAGGATTTAGCTGTCATATTGCTAAACTTTTTGCCCGAATCTTACAAAGAAATGAAAAATGCCATAAAATATGGTAGGGACACTCTCACTCAAGCTATTGGTTCATGATGCTTTAAAATCAAGAGAACTTGAATTAAAAAGAGAGAACAAAATTTATTCTCGTGAAGAGAGTCTATTTGTTAGGGAAAGATCTGAAAAGAAAGAATTTAACTTCCATAACAAGAAGGGCAGAGGAAAATCTAAAATGAGATCCAAATCTAAAGATAAAAGTGGTAAGAAATGTTATCACTGTGGAAAGTTAGGACATTTCAAGAAAGACTGCTTTGACTGGAAAAGGAAACAAAAAGACCCGAACAATTCTGATGTTGATAATGCTGCTATTGCTTCTGAATTTAATAGTTTGCATGTCATGAATGTGTCTGAAGAAGAATTTGACAAAAATTGGATTCTTGACACATGGTGTACTTTCCATATGTGCCCTGATAGGTCTTAGTTTTATAACTATAGGGAGACTGAACCTAGGAAGGTCTACATAGGAGACAATAATTCTCAAAATGTGATTGGAGTTGGTGACATAGCCATCAGGATGTACGATGGGGCCGTCACGCAGCTCAGAAATGTTAGATATGTCCTAAATTTAAAGAGGAACCTCATTTCCTTAGGTTTTCTGGAAGATGAGGGATATACCTTCAAGTCTAGTAACAAAATTTTGAAAATTATGAGGGGTTCTCTTATAGTTATGAAAGGGCCTAATAGGAATGGGCTGTACTATCTTGAGGTTAGAACTGAAATACCATTTGATTCTAGCCTTCTTGCTGTAAGTAAAGACAAAATTGAACTTTGGCATAACAGAATGGGTCACATTGGGTTTAAAGGGCTAAAATCTTTAAGTAATCAGAAATTAATTGGAAAAGATGACATTAAAACTATGGAATTATGTGAAACTTGTGTTTTGGGTAAGTCTCATAAGGTGAGCTTTGAAGCTAGCTCTCATAGGACCAGCAGACCATTGGACTATGTTCATGTTGATCTATGGGGCCCAGAGAAGCACTCCATATTTGGTGGGAGCAAGTACTTCTTGTCCTTAGTGGATGATTACTCAAAAAAAGTTTGAATTTATCCTTTGAAGGCTAAGTCGGAAACTTTTGGGAAATTCAGGATTTGGTTAAAGTCTGTTGAGAATTAGTTAGACAAGAAACTTAAAACGTTAAGAACTGATAATGGGCTTGAATTCTGTAATAGCGAATTTGACAACTTCTGTAAGCAGAAAGGTATAACAAGACACAGGACTGTTAAATATACACCTGAACAAAATGGGGTTGCTGAAAGAATGAACATGACCATAATGAACAAAGTTAGGTGTATGTTGATTAGCTCTGGCCTTACGAAAGGTTTTTGGGCTGAAGCTGCAAGTACTGCAGCTTAGCTGATTAATAGGTCTCCGTCCAGCAGTATAGGGTTTAAGACCCCACAAGACTTGTGGATGGGAGAGCCTCCAAATCTAGAACACTTGAGGGTGTTTGGATGTGCTGCATATGCACACCAATCTGAAGGGAAACTTGAGCCGAGGGCTGTCAAGTGTGTGATGTTAGGGTATCTCGAGGGTGTGAAGGGCTATAGGTTATGAGTTTTAGGGGTCCAAGGCATTAAGATTATCAACAGCAGGAATGTAGTCTTTAATGAATCTGAGATGCCATGTCCAAAACAGAAAACCGAAAAAACTAACAAATCTGAAACTGAGAAGAGTATTCAGACTGAGGTGAAGCTGACTAGGCTAAATTCACCTACACTTGGGAATGACGAAAATGACCCTATACATCATGAAAATGAAATTGAAATTGAACATGAACCTGAAGAGGTGACTGAACTTTAAGATAACATTGAACCAGTTGAAGTTGAACATTTTAATGATCAGCCATCTAATCAAGATTATCAGCTTACTAGGGATCGGGGGAGGAGGCAGATCAGGCCAAATCCTAGATATGAATCCCTAAACTTGACTGATTTTGCCTTGGTTTCAGGTGAAGCCCTTGAACAGATAGAACCTGCTAGTTATGAAGAAGCTGTTAATGGAAAATGTTCTGAAAATTGGCTAAAAGCTATGCGGGAAGAAATGAAATCTCTAACGGAGAATAAAACTTGGAAGTTAGTTAACAAACCTAAGGATCATAGGATAGTTCAATGTAAGTGGATTTACAAATTGAAAGAAGGAAATAATCCTAGTGAAGGCTAGATTAGTGGCGAAAGGGTTCACTCAAAAGGAGGGGGTTGATTACAATGAGATATTCTCTTCTGTGATAAAGTACAAAACAATCAGACTGGTTCTTGCATTGGTTGTTCAGTACAACTGGGAACTGAAACAATTAGATGTCAAGACTGCTTTCCTACATGGGGAATTGGAAGATGATATTTACATTAGTCAGCCTTAAGGTTTTGAGGTGAAAGGTAAAACAAACTATGTGTGCAAATTAGAAAGATCTCTGTATGGGTTTAAACAAAGTCCCAGACAGTGGTACATAAGGTTCGATACCTATGTACTGAAGATAGGTTTTAAAAGGAGTGAATATGATGCATGCCTGTACTATAATGATAGTAAGGAGGGCTGTGAGGTCTACTTGTTGCTGTATGTAGATGACATGCTTCTAGCGAGTTCAAGTAAGACTGAAATTACTAAGATGAAGAACCTTTTAAAATTAGAATTTGATATGAAAGATTTGGGGAGTGCTAAGAAGATTTTGGGGATGGTTATAAAGAGAGATAGGGCTGAAAATAGACTAGTCATTTCCCAAGAAGCCTATCTAAACAAAGTCATAACTAAATTTGGTTTGAATGGATCAAAATCTGTGAACGTTCCCTTAGCAGCTCACATGAATCTTTCCAGTGCACAATCTCCTAAAACTGAGGAGGAATTTAGAGAAATGAGGAAAATACCCTATGCTAATGCTATAGGTTCCGTTATGTTCTCTATGATAACAACCAGGCCTGACTTAGCATATGCTATAAGTTTTTTGAGCAGATTTATGTCAAACCCAGGAAGCCCCATTGGGCAGGTTTGAAATGGTTGTTAAGGTACATTGTTGGTACATTAAATCTGGGTCTAGTATATGAAAAGAGATTTGAAAAACTTGTTCTAAAGGGGTATGTAGACTCTGATTTTGCTGGTGACAAGGATAGCAGAAAGTCTACCACAGCGTACTTTTTTACACTAGGTGACAATTGTATAACAAGGAAGTCACAATTGCAGCTTTTAGTTACTTTGTCAAGTACTGAGGCAGAATATGTTGCCATAACCGAGGCGGTTAAGGAATGTACTTGGTTAAAAGGAATTTTAAAAGAATTGAACTTCATGCATGATACACATGTTATGTTTACTGATAGTCAAAGTGCTTTATTGCTTTGTAAAAATCCTGTTTACTATGAAAGAACTAAACATATTGAGGTAAAGTATCATTTTATTCGTGAGAAACTGTCTCAAGGTGAAGTTAATCTTGTTAAAATTCACACTGATAGGAATCCCTCTGATATGGGAACAAAAATTCTGCCTGCAAGTAAATTTAGATTGTGCTTATCTTTATTATATATTGACACTGGTTAATTTTTCTTGCAGGTAGTGGGCGATAATGATGAACAGTTCTTCCATGTGCAAATTCGCAACCAAGAGAGAGTGTTATGAGAACCAAGGTGAAGAATGTGAGAAATGGTTCTCTTAACCCTACTAGTGTTTAGTGCTATTTGTGTAATTCACAAGGATTGTGCTTTCCCAGTATTTATTATGGACCATTGAATGGAATCGATGGTCGGGATTTAAACTTAATAGATATTTTGTTGCCTTGGCTTGTTAAAGAAGTTTTGGATCATTTACCAAACATATGACTTACCCCACGTTTTTTGTAAGAGAGGACAGTGTCTTTAGATTGTAGGGGGTTATTTCAAAAGTAGGTTGGTCTTTATTTTCTGGCTGCTCGACAGAAAACTCTCCTCCATTTTTGGTTCCTTAAGGTGGCGGTTTGAAGGGGTTCTTTGCCGGTTTTTCTCTCTCTTGGAAGGTGATTTGCAAGTCGTGGAGGACTGTTCCTGAGCCTGTAAAATCAGCCATAAGGAGGAGAATAAGCTGCTGAAAGGAGGAAGCAGAAGCTGTCCAGACTCGGCCATATGGATTGTGTTATTTCCGATTTCGTATTTTCTTGGATTTGCCTTAAAATTTCTTCTATTGATTGATGTTTTGATTGATTGAACTCCAAGGATCCCCAACAATATTATTAAAAAATAAGGGATTTTTTTAAAATTTACACGTAACATTATTTTAAAAGAGAACATGTTGTTGAAAATAAATTTTAAAAATATAAATTTTTGAAAAAATAGGACCAAACACAGGTTATATATCACTGTTTAACTATTAAAAAGGCTAAAAGGCTTCAAGAACTGAGTAGCCACACAAGCTCGCTAGCTCCTTTAGCAATTCCTTCCCGGTGATTTACACTGTGTTAAGCCCTATTTGAGCCCCATGGTTTAAAAACTTATTTTTTTCTTAAACTCATTTTTAACCGCATATTCTTTAAATAAAATAATTTACACGTAAACTCAAAAACATTTTTCCTAATCTTTAACCACACATTTTCCAAAAAAAATTACTATTACAAAATTTATTTTTACATAAAAAGGATAAAAAAAACCCGTCCTCGCATTTTATTGTCTTGTGATCACAGGTTAATAAAAATTTTGTGAATTTGAACTACACTTTTTTTTAAACTTAAAAATCTTTAGAGCAATAATAATTTACTGAATTCAGAGCAATAATACATTACATTTCATGAAAATTTTACTGCAAATGACATCATCTTCCCTAAATACATTTTGCAAAACAAAATCCAGCACATTACATACCAATGCAGTTTCTTTCTCCAAGTCTTCATGGTACCTATGGCTGAAACTATGATGTAACTGAGGAAGATACCTGCAACAAAGGGTATATGCTCAATGTTTGACGATAAGTTCTTTTTCTTCTCGACCCTTTTTAGTAGGCTCGTTGGAAGAAACGAGTAAATATGACTCATGAGCAAACGAGGAACAAAATAACAATTCTCAAAATTAAAGAATTAGGAGGAAAAAAGAATGCATAAACTAGACTTTTGGATTATGATCTTGGCATAGGAGAGTTTCCTCTCTCTCTCTCTCTCTCTCTCTCTCTACACACACACACACACACACACACACATACTCCCTCTGTCCTAATTATATAGACTGTGTTTCATTTTTCTCTTATCCCAAATATATAGGTCTATTTCCTAATTTAGAATATTTTGTTTTGTTCCTTTACCAATATACCTTTATTCAATTTTCCTCATTTAATATGCCAACTTCTTGAAATCATCCAAATACACACATTTATCACTTTTTGGAACACATGGAACAACTTTTATTTCCTCTTCTTCAAATTTAATCATTCAAATTTTTTACTAATTCAAACAATAATTTACAACTACATACTGAAAATTAAATAGGGGTAAATTAGGAAATATGTCGGCAAAAATAAATTTTCCAATGACATTAAAGAAGATTTTTTAATTCGTGTGAAAAACGAAACAAGCCTATATAATTAATTGGGACGGAGGGAGTAAATGCATTCAACAACAACCAATTAAGCCTTTAATCCCGAGATGTTTGGGTCGGCAAGGTAATCCTTTTTCGTCTCTTCGTAAGTTCATTGCTATACGTCCAAAGCAACTAGATCCTTTGCAAGCACATTACTCATTGTTAGTTTCGACCTACCCGACTCTTCTAACATGTCCTACAATTGTACCATTCTTATCCATGAGAGCCTCTTTATAGTTATTTATTTTGTGTACACTAGACCACCGATAATTTTCTGCACTTCGGAGGACTATTCACATACATAACAATCTTTCGTTCAAATACATGTATCACTCAATTTATACACTAAGCCAACTGTAATCCCAAACAAATATAAATAAACTGTACAATAAGAAAAATCCATGTACCTATTTGGCAAGGACTTCTTTGTGAGCTTTATATGAAAGAATTACATTCCATATTAAGGAAACAAAGTTAGCAGCAAGGACCTGTAAAAGATGTGTCAATTTGTCAGATAACAAAGGGTACAAACGATAAAAAATACAGCTGATAACTAAACACAGAAATGCAAAAGGTAAGAGGACATTTGGCCCCTAAAATTCACCCAAAAAAAAAAAAAAAAAAAAAAAAAAAAAAACATGTATATATATATATAAACAGAATATAAGAGTAGCTCTGAAACCTATATTTTTATTCTGAGATTTATTATTTCCAAATGGGCATAAGTCCATCTTAATGTCATTTCCACAACATTCATTTTACGGTCCTTTTGTCCTCAAACCTGACTATACAAGCCTGATCATGCCCTTATATAACCAAACCTGAAATTGTTGCGGCACAAATCGGAAGTTGAGAAATTGGAAGGGTATCCACAACTGCCAATTTGCAAGAACAGAGGGGAACCACTCCTACAAAAACAGGTTTAGATACTACCATGAAAAGTCTAAAATAAAGTCTTCTTATTGGGTGTGCATCCAAAGCTTAATGGAAGTACAAATATAAAATGAAAAGATCTTTAGCAACACCTGTTTTAGCTTTGGAATCACATGTGAAGGCCTTCCCTCCAATGTCACCAGTGTAGATAAGAAAATTCCAATAAAAGTGGGAGCGAAAAGAAACTGCATTATGTCAGGTCAAATTCATTAGAAATACTCGAGAGGTCAAATCGTGATACATAGTGATAGTATGAAAGGGATATTAGATAAGATAATCAAGCAGCTTAAAGATGTTACCTGATCAAGTAAAAGCCGCAACAAAGCACCAGATGCTCCAGGTTTTGTGATCAATTTACTTAAATACAGATACCTTCATGTATAATAGGTTCTATCAGTTGAATAGAGAAATGCCACAAAGATTTTAGATTCTATTCGTATAAGACAAAATCAAGTTACTCCAACATGGTTAAACACTTGCTTGAGAAAACAGGAAATTTCTGTTCCAAGGGCAGTTAGCTATTTAACTCAATCCATGAGGAAATAAAGAAAAGGGAATAAATTACGTGATGAGCACAACTGTCTACCAAAATGGCTTGTGGAGATAAAATGGAAATCAACTGGAGCAGAGACACATCAAGCTTCACTCAGCACACAAGAAGACAGAATAAAATAAAAATAAATAAAGATAGAATGATAAACAGAAGCTAGCTTCCATTTAAGAGGTTACTAGCTTCAGATCCAATCCTTAGTGATACACTACTGAATTCATTTGGCTCCTTCACAGCCCTAATTCTTACTTTAGCAAGTGTGCAACTTAATCGAGGTGGAATTACTCTTCTCTATTGTGGACACTTTCCATCAGCCCTATGTTGCTTGGACTTGGGTGTGGATGTCCAATACGAGAAAATATATAGGAATCGGGTCCTGTCCTTTTAAAATCTAGGATATGGAAATACAAACTAAAAATGATCCAAAATTTAGCACGTCGATATGCCTTAAATCTTAAATTACTTAGAAATTTATATAGGTGCATTTTTAACGACGGACACACACACACACACACACAGAGGAATGATCTCCTAAGCACCGGTGCCATGACACACTATTTAATTGGTGAATCATTAAATATATGGTACTTACTATTAACTTATTCATCAATTAAATGGTGTGTCATGTCACCGGTGTTTAACTTAACATAAGTTAAGCACAAGTACTTAGGAGATTATTTTCGTATGTGTGTGTGTGTATATATAATGCAAATTTATAACAAATTAAATTGCAAGTTGATAATTCAATTTCAAGTCTAGAAATGTGAAATGCTTATATATAGAAATTACCAAAGTAACAAAAATGATATAAAGATCCTCATTGATTTATAGAATTCGAGAAGGATCTCATACCCTAATCCTTGTCGTCTGTGTCCAACACAGGTACATCTACATTAGAGTCTAAGCAAGAAAGTCCATGTCTAGTCCTAGACCTAGAATCTCCAATTGGAAGAAATACAAGTGTAGACCAGCTAGTTCCAAAAACTTGACAGTATAAATAAATTGGGCGAAGTCTTTTCTTAACTCAATCATTTCCTACAAGTATGAGGCAGCTGTTGTTTTTATCTTCTATTTTTCGTTTATATATATAGCAAAACATCAACATATCCTTGGTGGGTCTTACCACCAGGGGGTGTTGATGGGGTTTGAATTCCCCAACCATTTATATAAAAACAAAGTCCTTTGGTACAAAGAAAAGGGAGCGTAAACCTGACCATTAAAAGCAATGAAAATGCAATATGTGAAGAATAGGAAAAGTAAGGGTAGTACTAATTCCTATACAAGCTGAGCAAATGAAAATTAGACCAATACATTCTAATGTTAGGAAGACCATGTCTATCAATTTGAACAAGAGCTCGAAGATCGCGTGGAAAGTCTAGAGGACCATACTCTTGATAATGTAGCGGATCCCAACCTAAAGATGCAAGTGAATCTGCGATCTGGTTCCCCTCCCCTCTTAATTTAAATAGACTTGTGAAATGATAACAAACAGGTTTCAAGTTTTTATGAATTCAAATGTTGCACATTGATAGAAACCTGACTCTTGAAGCAAATCAATGAAAAAACTTAATGTTATATTGATATTCAACAGAAATAAAATGACAATTTCCAAGGCATTCGAGAGGCCTAGACTCTCCCAATTTTCCCACTATTTTCCTGGATGAATATCACGGCTCCCCCCTTATTATATTTATAGAGACTCTACCAACTTTCTATAACATTTTTACTCTTTTGCTAACCAACTAAGGAATATTCTAGAATAGCAAAAGAATAACAACTTGCATTGAATGTGAGGGTCTATCACTACTCGCCCCTTCGAAATCCACCTTGTCCTCAAGGTAGAAGTTGTTGCGTCTTCATCATATAACCCCACAAATTCTTCTGTAAGAGATCCATTTAAGGTCACCACTCTAAGGGGACATTTCCACCCTTTGAAGTGAAAGGACTTATTCAATCGAGCAACAATCACAAGTATAATATCTAAGGCAACTCCATAGCCCGTTGCCCCTACCCACAAAATACCGATGTCTTGTATCCGACGAGCTATAATGAAATTGGAGGCTTGATAATTTGAATATACTACCTGGGAAAGTAAGTTGGACGGGTTAAGCTTGCTATTTGGGCTATAGGAGTTGGTTTTAGTCTTATATGGACTGTAGATTGAGTTGGCCTTTTTCATAGAATTGTTTTTATCTTCACCCTTTTGGGCCAATGCCAATTCCATAATCTGGCCCAAACCATGTGATTTAAGCCTTATAACTTCAGTTCCACCCCACTGTTTCAGCCTATTGTCCACACTCAACTCCAAACCGAAGCTCTGGTTCCCTTTGTCGGCATATTCCCCACGGATGGTGATGATGGTTTCGGGCAGAATGACTTCTATTTCTTTCTCCTTTTTCTCCCAATCATCGATTTCTTCAATGTTTGGTACAATTTCAAAATTAATCGTGGGCTCTAGCAAAGTGACTGCGAACTCCTCCTTCCTGTCCGGCTCCTCCCGGTGGTACGTATTGAGGGGACTTACTCCAAATTCCTCCAATTTTGGGCAAATTTTCGAGGTGATGGTGAGTTCCAATGGATTTTCTATTATCCCCTTCTTGTCCTTCCCGTCTGTAAATTCACCAGCAAAGGAGATCTGCTTCACGACCGGCTTCTCTGTTTTCCAGTTCACCACCCCATTCAATTCCAGCCCATTCTCTTTCCCTTCCTTCACCGTTGTCTTCTCCTCCAGTAATAGTCCTTGTTCATACACTTCCATCGAAGAAGATGCTACGGCTTCCAACATCTTCTCTTTCCTCACACCCGAGTGCTTACGAGCTGGAATTTCTTCAGCCATGGATACCTCAATGCGAAATTGATCTAACATCAACCACTTCAATTCTTTCCAGGTTCTCACAGGCTGGCTTCGATCTATTAACTGAAACCAATTCCAAGTTTGTTAGTCAAAACAGGCTGTTGCAGCCTCTACTTTCTCTGCCTCCAATAATTGATTTCTGGAGAAGATCTTTTCTGCCTCCGACACCCACTCATTTGTGTTTTCACCATAGAATATTGAAATTTCTAATCGGCCACATGAATCCAGCCCCAAATTATTGTCCCGATCTCCTTCCTGTTGCCTTACCATCCTGTCCCTCTGATTGAATATTGAACTCGATTTCTCCTTCCACTCGCTTCTGAAGTTTGATTCCATTCGTCCGAGAATCGACAGCTCTGATACCAATTTGATAGAAACCTAACTCTTGAAGCAAATCAATGAAAAAACTTAATGTTATATTGATATTCAACAGAAATAAAATGACAATTTCCAAGGCATTCAAGAGGCCTGAACTCTCCCAATTTTCCCATTATTTTCCCGGATGAATATCACGGCTCCCCTCTTATTATATTATAGAGACTCTACCAACTTTCTATCACATTTTTACCCTTTTGCTAACCAACTAAGGAATATTCTAGAATAGCAAATGAATAACAACTTGCATTGAATGAGAGGGTCTATCACACATCTTGCATTTGGATGGATAGGTTAGTTCAAGTGTGGAGTTTAAATTTGAAACTCTACATGTTTTAAAAACCGTCCCTAGCAAGGAAAATAGTATTTAAAATTCCTTGTTTGGAGGCAATAAATCCATGGACTTCTAAAACCACTAAAATTTTTATTCGTCAATAAAATTTGCAAGTGTTTTCAAAAACTATTGACACAGCATCCTATTGATTTCAATATTCATAAACACAACTTGAACACGAGTCTAGGTTATTAAGCCCCTGTTTGGCAGCCATTTCTTAAAACACATTTTTCGACAACATATTTTATAGAATCCATAACTTTTATAAACTTTTCAACCATGCATTTCAACTTTTGTCAAAATCCAATAAAAATCTACATTTTAACAAAACCAAATAGAGCTAAATAGGTTAGAAAATTTGCAGAAGTTTTCCTTGGTTTTTTCGAAATCCAAACTCACTTCTATGTATTGATACCCAATATACTGAAAAATGAAAAGATTTTTACCTTCTTTTAGCAAGACTATACTCATTAATACAAATACATTAGTGAAGAGAATTCTAGAAAAATCCCAGTAGTTAAGTAATAAGCAGTTATCCAGGTAAAATCCTGTTAATTATCAGTTGTCTAAAGATCAATTGATTATTGGACAACCTACTACATACCACATGCAGCACAAGAAGATTGCATATTTGATAATCTTTTTGGCACCATGTAACGCCTGATCAGTAACAGAGAACTGCATAACACATTTTACTACGTAGATGATAATTTCCACTGCCACACTCATCTCCACCATCATTCCCTTCTCAACACACCACGGATCTGTCCTGTGGCCATCACTCTTTTCTCAACGAACCACCACCCCCTACCCAGGAGTCAGGAGCTACCCCTTACCAGCTATATGTCTAAGTACAAGTTTGATTGATAGAAACACGATTGGGTGCATTTGAAATCCATTTAATATGTGTCTCAAATCACTCGATTCTTGACAGTTGACTTCAGATCCCCACTCTAAACTGGGCATCAAACAACCAAGGAAAATTTTGGATTGTCGATCTGAAATATAATAAGAGCAAAATCTTTCTATCCAAACACATCCTAATTATTTTGGCACAAAGTATGAATCACATCATTTGTAATTAAGCACAAAAGTTAATTAGACTGAAGACATCCTATAAATATTATATATTTTAGAGAAAAGATTGAAGCCATTACCAGAAATGCAATGTTGGGCCCACCAAAACCAGCCCCAACAGTGTGAAAATAGATGTCCTCTTCAAGTCTAGAGATGGCACTTGATCGATCACAAGCTGAGGCATATAACAAAAAATATTAAAAAATACTTAGAAATCGTAAGCCCAGATATGATACAATCTTCAAGGAATTAAATATGAACCGCGACTGAAAACATTAACTAATTGTGGATAGTCCATTTGTCCTCAACATATCTATACAAGAAATGTGTATACGATCTCCAAGTTTAATCATCAGAAAATCACGTAATTGCACTCCATAACTGATGATGGACAAGCAGGAATGTAATAAGTAAATGTTATATAGGTACCTAGAGCTAATATGTTTTTAATTCACCTCTAGTTAAACTCCATTACATGTCTCTAGAGCACAATTTCTTTCTTTTTTCTTTCATGTGGGGTACAATGGGAAGGATGGAATGCAAGTGCCACGTGGAGTAAATATGCAAAATTATTAAATTTCATTAAATGAAAGATTTTGCTTCTAGAAAGCAGGATTTCATAAGACAAACAAATTATTTGTCATGATAGTGAAAAAGATGAGACTAGGCAAACAAACCAAAAATTTCCATTCTTAATTTCACCATGGACATTAGCTTTTCAGCTTGCCTATGGGCCATGGCAACGACGTTGAAAATTAAGTGAGTATTATATGCTCTTCAAATTCAACAATTCCTTTGTGGAGTATGCAGTCCTTTTAAGCCCTTGTTTGGTTTTGTTAAAAATCATATTTTTAGTAGATTTTGATAAATAATAACAAAACGTGTGGTTGAAAAGATGATAAAAGTTGTGGACTCTATGAAATGGGTGGAAAAATTTAATTCGTGATTTTGAATTAGATTTTTATTAATTTTTTTAGCCAAACCAAACAAGGGACAAATGAGCTCCTTTCACCCATTTTTCTTAGACAAATTAAAGCTCTTATTCTAGAACCATACAACCGTTACTATGCAAAAATTAACCGAGACAGCCACATTCAGAATTCTTGTCCAGATACATCATCAGAAATGTACCTGTAGCTTTCTGCAACCAGCTCACAATCAAGAAGACAAAATATGAAATCATTTAATTTGAAGTCTCTACCTTCTTATTGATGTATGATCTCGATCATAAGGGCATAGTAGTTTACCTGACAGATCAGATCACCAGCTAATGTCAAAAGTGCTGATGTAACAGCTTTTGTCATCACGGGATACTTGACAAGAAGAGACAGATACCTGCACAGAGATGAAAATTGAGTTTACAAGGGAATAAAGATACTATTAATCAGATGAAAAATTAGCTGGAAGGGCACAAAAAAAAAATGGAAGAGTATAGCTTATTTCGAAATAAAAAAAAAAATAGGGAAGAGTATAGCTTATTTCGAAATATTTATAGCGTCCTTTTTATATAAACCCGTTTACATTCTTCTGCCACCAAATTTACATAATTCAAACATATAGCAAGAAAGACAAGTAACAACAATTTGACAAGCAGAGTATGAAAGATTTCACAATGCATAATTATTTACGATATTATAAAAACAATAGTCAAGCATCCAGGCATTTGCATTTTTGCCATTCAACAATAGCACCAGCGAATATTGCCACAGCTATAAGACAATAAAAAATTACAACTAAGCATATTATATAATGAATCTTAGCTTCAATTGGAAAGACATAAGGCATGTAACACCTTTCCAAGTTGCCACGGTACTCCAGTCATCTTTTAGACTCTTCTAACTATACTGAACATCTGTGATGGGTGTTTTGTAATTCCAAACTCGACCATTTTTCTTTTAGGTTCATGCTAGTCCATGAAGTAGCCACATATTAAAATGGATAATAAACCTTCATCCTAATTCTAGGGACATCTTGCAGCAACAGAGTTGCTGGAACCCTTCACAATTCATTAAATCCACCGTAAATAGTTTTTGGATTTAACATATTTTTTCCTTTTTAATGACTTTCGGGCAATTTAAAATTGACTTACGCATTGAAGTTCTATTAAATTGTAACTTTGAACTTAAGGGGAAGGGCATTCTAGTATGAAGAGGGCCTTTAGGACCCCTTGAATAATCACTAAATAATTTTACGAACTCCACATTCGAATAGATTCCGCATTTTTAATTTTTATATGTATAATTTAGAATGCCTCACATTTTCTGATAGCTACATTTATTTAGTTTTAAAAACTACAATTGTGCCGAAAAAAAAAATGCATATTAACAGCATGTTTTGCTAAGCTTAAAATAAGTTAAATTACTTCAAGTAAATGTTATTTTTTTATTACTTATAAGTTAAAAACAGGTTGCCTTTAATGCTTGGTAAGGTAGGAGCTAATAAGTAACTTGTTCGTTATAAGTAAACCGATTATGAGAAAAAAATTTAAGCATTGCCAAACATGCACTGAACAGTAAGAAAATAAATTATGAAGTTAAAACCTTACCAAGAAAGCAGTGGCCAACCACTCCCATCACCATCGCCACCTCTTCCACCGGAATTTCCACCACCGGGGCCTCCAAAACTGCCTGCTCCACCACCGGAACCACCGCCACTGGAAACCCGAAAAGACCGATGACCCGAAAATCTAAGCCCCAATTCAGAATCGCCCGAGACCTTAAAACCATGTGTAGAAGGGAGATTAAAACTGCGGTGACAGATTGCAAATCTCCTAGTTATGTAAATTGGATTAATCCTGTTCTGGCAATTGAAGTGGCAACTGGGCGTGCGAGAGAAAGATGAGAAACGAAACAAAAGACTACGCAGCAAACGAGGGGATTTTTGGGTCATTAAAGAATTCGAAACCACCATTGTTGTATAATCTACAGATAATGCAAATTTTACCGTTCAGATTCCTGTCCGTAGAGTCCCCAAAGGCACGCGGGTTTTTGAGGTTTTAAGCCAGAATGTTCACCCTTTGAACGGACTCATTAGGGGTTTTGAGTTGCATTTTTTAGCGAGTCTCACGCGATTATATTAATAAATCTTTTTGGCAACAAAATAAATAACTAAATAAATGAATTAATGTGGTATATTCTGAATAATTTGAAAGGTATGGAACAAACACTGAATATCTAAAATTCATAACACTATAATGTATAAAAATGTGACTAAAGTCGAAAACCATACCGTATAATGATCTCTCATGATCGGTCGTGAACATGGTGATAGTGGTACATCTTAAACGAGTTTTAGAATTTGAAACAATTCAAACTCCAACCATATAAGAAACAATTCAACCTCCAATGGCATGAAGTGGAAAGTTCGAAAACAATTGGCGTAATCTATGTGGCTGGTTATATGAGTGAATAAACAAAACATTAACAACATGACAATATTTCTTGAAAAATGAATGATCGATTAACATAGTAGTGTAACTTGGTCTTAAAATTCAGGGAGGTAGCCCAAATCATTTGAAGTTCAATTGTATAAGTGACATCAAGTGTAAAGTTTAGCCATAGTTGGTGTAATTAAAAAAAAAAGAAAAAAAAAAACTTATCTTATAAACTAAAGAGAGAAGAAAATAGAGGAAGTCAATAGATTTTAGTGTATTTTATTGAGAACTAAAGTTTTATATTTATGAGTAAGGATTAAGATTGTACTGATACGTAAGTCATAGTAATTAGGGTTGTTGAGATACAATTAGGGGGGAACCTGATTCCATTTAATTCTGATTCCAAAAGAGTCAAGCCAAACCATGAACCAATGATTTTTTGATAATGGAATCAAATTGTGTGTGTGTGTGTGTGTGTGTTTTTTTTTTAAAGATATAGAATCATATCAGAATCGAACCATTCGGTTCTGGTTTAGTTTGGTTCGGTTCTAGTTTCATTACTGATTGAAAAATAAGTGAAAGAACATTTGAGATAGAAGAAATGAATGTCGAGGCTTCAATTTTAGAAATCCAAGCGATGGTGGTGGGTAAGTGGTAGTTGTTGGTCTCCATGTGAGAGCCAATGTATAAATTGAAAATGAGAGAATATGAGAAATGGATTAGGGTATGGGCCTCCAAAATGAATTAGGATCTTTAGTCCCTACATTAAAAAATGAGAAATCGAAGGTAAATGACTTTTTATCCAAATTTCAAATTGAATTTTGAATTTTTCTTGTGAATTGTGATTCATTAATTTGTAATATATATATATATATATAGAACCGAACTAGAATCAAATCCAAATGGTTCTCGATTCTAAGAACTAGAACCATTTTTTTTTTGTAAAACTGTTCGGTTTGATTTGGTTCTGATTTGGTCTGGTCATTTTGTCTACCCCTAGATACAATGGTCGTTTACATTTTCATATAGAAGTTGCAATACTACTATTTGAATTATTAAATACATAATACCTGCTTCATTAAAAACTTTGTTCTTAAAAATTGGTGGGACAAAAATATCATACGAAGGAAAATGAGTACAATTATTTTTTAAATAATAAAAGTAATGCTATCTCATTAAAGCAGCTAGGAAAAATCAATGGAATAAACCTTAGTGAAGGAAAAAGAGTACAATTACTCTCCTTGACGTTGACAATCAAAGATCTTTGAGTCGATACATTCCCATTTTACGAACTAATTTCTTGAATTTGGACTTTGACAATCTTTTTTTTTTTTTGAATTAATCGCTCATATTATTTGAGTAAATATTTTGAATATTGATGTCACAAGTCTTTTGAAACTTTGTGCATAGAAGAATTTTGAAGAAATATGAGTTGTTATGTCTCTTTTGTTTCAAGTTTGTAAAGCATTGAATTGGTGGCCAATTAATTCAAATCATTAAAAATCATACAAAAAATCAACACATGAAGAATTAAACTACAAGAATATTGAAAATTGAAATAAAGGGTTAAACATAGATTACATAACTAATGATTTAAATACTCATACCGATGAAATACAAAATAACTAAAAAGACAAAAGTTCATCATTGTGTTTCGAAATCTTGATGAAGAGAAGAATATGATATTCCATCAATAATCTTCTTCTCCAAGCCCAAAATCTGGAAACTTCTAGTTTTTTTTCTCTTTGATCTTGAATTTCTATGTGCGTTTCTCTCTAAAATTGAGTCCAAAGATGTTTCCCATGTATATTTTAAGTCGAACTAGGAAACAAGAAAATCTGGAAATTCTTTACCCTCATAAATTGATGCGCTCGCACTTGGTTAATGGGTGTGATCGCATAGTTTACATATTCTGGGGCTAGTGTCCTTCAACTTCAAAACTAAATGCATTGTCTCCAATTTCAAGATTTTGTACGATTGTACTTCAATTTCATCCAAACTTGTAAAATTTAGGTTTACTCCTAAGGTAATCACAAAAATAAGCAAAAATTATGTATCTAAATAATATGAGCACATCTAAATGCCCACTTATGGTGGCTAGAATTAGTGTAAAAACACACATATCAAATATCTCCAAATTTGAACATTTGTTCTTCTCTAATAAAGTAAAAGAAAGACTAAACTAAACTCTTATCATATATACTCAAATGGACATATGTTATCCATATTTCTTCAAAATGAATATTTATCCCAAAATTCAAACATATTAATGACTAAAGAGAATGAACATCTAGTTCACAAACTCCACATATTGTATTTTCAACTTTTGAGTGTGCACGTGATAATAATTCTTAATTCCGCTGATGCTACTTGAATCTAGTTATGCACTGCAATTTTCTAAGTACTCTTTTTCAACAAAACCAAATCTCTATGCCAATGTGTTCTATCTTCATTCATGTTTCTATGCTGGTTATCTATTTCTTTTTCTAAATAGCGAAATAAACAAGTGAGATAAATTTTATTTTTATCATCAACTCAACTACTCTATAAATCTGTAATCGATGACCAAGACTTAGCAGGACAGAGACAAAACTTATAGTTGTTTGCTACTATCTCAACATACATTGGTGTTTCTTTTCTTTTTATTTCATTGTTTCTTCTATTTTCAAGATCATTCTGATTTTCAAAGTTAATTTTCATTAAACACAGTAGGAAACCTTTTTTCCTAAAAGATCATAGGACTATGGATAGGGCCAGATTACTTAAGACTAGTCTTACACTACAATATAAGTAGCTTTTTTCTATGTGTCACAACAAGTGCTATGTGCAATGCACAGGCTGGGTTAGTTTGAAAGTTATGTTAGAATATTGAATTTGTTGAATTATCAAGAATTACATCCTCAACAAAACACTTTCTATGGTTACATTGAGATGAACTTTCCTTTATTGATCATGCAGATAGACTACATTATATCATTATAGACGAAGCAAGCAAATGAAGATGTTCATTTTCTCCAGCCGTGTATTGATGCAACAAGTGTCATAAAGTAATACCTATAGCAATTGTAACTGTCAACCTCCAAGTTTGCAACCGTACTATGATTCTTTTGTCGAAACATGTAGAAAAAACTTGGTATCTTACCAAACATATCTGTCGGATCACCCCTTATCATCTTCAAGGTTTGCTCGCGAGATCTTCACGCTTTCAAATAATTTAAATAAGCCCTATAAGTATACAACATATCACTGCATATATCCTTTAGTGTGTATATAGTACGGGACAACGTATACTTGTACTTATGCTAGAGGACACAACTGTAGCTGATAGTTACCTATGTGACCCCAACACTACATTTGATGCACATGTGTGACTACCAATCTTCTGAATATTAAATAGTCCCATTTTACCCAATTTCGACACTCTATATATCCAACTACATCCGTCTTGTGAATACCTCACAACATATTCTTTATTGTCCGACCATTCAACTGTAAACTAAAACATATTTTGTGTGACAAAAAATGACAAGCTTATAAAATATCTTTATCACAAAAGACCCTTCCTTCTTCGACCTTTCTAGCATCTTCAACACAAACAACTGTGATTTTAGTGTTACATATGTGACCTATATTTTCAGTTGTTGTTTCACATATATCTGATGCCATATCCTGCAACGTACGTAGCTCACCAACAACATGTGAATTAACTGGTAGTGTGATAGATAGTTTATCTACCTCTACCTCCATAACATCAATGATTAATGGTTATTTAGTAGTTTCGAACTCCATGTCCTTCAGCATGATGTAAAAGAGCACATTGCTATCATTTCTGATTCTGTTTGGAGGCAAATCTTCATTTAGTACGTACTTCAATGAGATTGCTACATTTGTAGTATTCAAATCGAACTCTTTCATAACCATGTCGACAAGGTTTACATATCTGCAATTTCGATCTACCGACACCAAAAAAGTTTGAGATGCATGCAACAAACACACATTCAAGTACACAATTTCTGCAAATTAAATTAAATTTTATTAGTCGTCTTGTGATGAAAGTGTAACGATTGATAGAGCTTGTATATGAATTCTTAAAATAATAGGCAAGCGTGTTTTCCAAAAAGTCACAAATGAATATATAGTTGAAACATAGATCACATGTCAGGCATCACAATTCTCATACACAAAGAATGCGCATTGGTCACATATACAGAGTGCACATACTATTTGGAGTGTTTACTTTATGGTCACTTTTGTTTAAGAAATCATTTTAGGAACGAATATGACTGCTCATCACATAGGTCACAGATCATGTAACACAATTTTCACACTCATATTATGCACATTAGTCCCAAATACAGAGTGCAGGTAAATTTTGGAGTGCATACCTTTAGGTCACATTCTTAAAGAAGTAATCACGTAAAATACGAATTTCACTATGGTTGAGATATGCGTCACAGATCATTCATCACACTTCTCATTCATCACATGTCTCATATGTAGCCTTCATATTATATTACTCACAATAAACACATTCATCACATACATAAAGATCAGGTAATATGTCGATTAGCCTTGGATTAACCTTGTGACGGATAAAATTGAAGCACCTACCTGTATTCTATTTGCTAGCGAGGACTAGTACTTCTGTGACTAATTGGATTTCTCTTGCTGCAAACGTG